GGAAATTAATGTAATGCACTCACTTTGTTATATTTTTGCCGTTTTACAGAATCTAGTTTTCTGTTTATATCTTTGTTGTTGGCAGCTTGAGGTGAAAGTTGCTCAATAATTTTATTTATTTGTTTCAGAGATGTTGTACATGATCTGAAAAAAACAAGATTGCAATGTAGTAGTTAAGTCGACAAATAAAAATTCTTGATTCAGACAGTTTAGAAATTCCAGCAGACTTAGGATTTAAAAACGTCTAAAGTTTCTAAATAAGCATACTATATTTGAACAACACTGGAAATACTAAATACTTCAAAAAGTTGTACATTGTAGAATATTTATAAACAAAATTCTCCTAATGGTAAAATTACAAAAGCAAGGAAACTGAACAAACAACTGCAATATTTAGTAATCAAAAGTTACAAGCCTGATGATGACAATAAACCAGTGATAGTGGTTGCTTTTACTATTCAAGGTAGACAAAACACAAAACAAAAATCTAAATGGGAAATCCCATGTTTCCATTTTCCAGACTGTTTTAATTGTTTGGTGCCATTATATAAGGAAGCCTACTTCTTTTACCTTTACAATGTCTCTTTTCCACAAAGAATAGATTACCTGATATATAACAGCACATCAACGTTAAACTTTCCTTACTCATGTAATGCCATTTTTCATGTTTCCACATGCAATATGAAATTCAGGTTGAACCACAAACTATAACCTAATATAACCTGTTTCTGCTGTTGGATTCATTTGCAAGGAAGGAGACAACTAACACAGTTTTTGTTGATACAGAGTATTTCATAAGGATATATGAATTAGTATCTCGAAGCACTATGGAAAACGTCAGAAAACTCTATACAACACCTGCAAAGTGGCCATTACTTCCCTCACATACAAATAAAAGCACTCCATTCATCTCCTCAGTTGCTAGGAAGGAAATTGTTGGGCCACATTTCTTCCCAGCTCCAGACTGGATTCTACAGCTGATCTTCTAGGAGAGAGATTCTACCAGCTCCCCAGCTATCACCACTATCTTCCCTACTCCATTCTTTCTCGAGACTTTTGAACCATCCCATCCCATCCCATCCCATCCCATCCCATCCCATCCCATCCCATCCCATCCCATCCCATCCCATCCCCAAGCAGCAATCCCATCCCATCCCATCCCTCAGTTTTCTGTTCTGTTGTTCTGAAGTATACCATCCTCTTGCACATCTCCTACCTTTTGGCTCTTGCTTCCTTGGCGCTAAGGTGCCCTGACACATATCGCTACTGTCCTCTTCCACAAAGTCTTAACAGGACTGTGGGATTTACATGATTTAACTTCAACTATTTTTTATTCTCCTGCTTATATCTGTATCTAGACTATACAATCATACAGCTTCTACTATGAACTCTGTGCTAATTACACAAAAACCACTTCTTGCCTCATTTTACCTTTAGTCATTCATTTGCCATGTCACAGGCCTTTAAGCAACTCTACCACACTCATAAATCTTCACTTTTGCTAGTCCCTCTGTTTAACAAGACAGCTAGATCTCTTCTAATACTCTCAAAATCAACTTTCAGACTTGTGCATTACATCTGACACAGATGAGGTTCTAGAGGTCTGCGTAAACCATTTGCATCCCATCAAGTAAATCCCATTTCCCAACTTTAAGTGGAAGGTAAAAACAGAGTGGTAAGAAAAATCATAGGATGCTTCTTACAAAAAACCCCAGGAAAATAACAACTAATTGACAGTACTGTGCACCACGCATACAATAAACACATAATCTAATTGCAATGGTTATGCTGCTCCATTCTTCCTTTCAATGACCATCTTACTCATTACAACCTTCTGAAATTAGATTCTGGTTTTGTAAACATACTTAATTTCACATCTATACATCCAAACTAGTAAATTAATGAAGTGCATGTAATTAAATATATACATAATGAGAGCTATGTGAAAGTTGACATAAGTAAGAGGCCTACAGCACTCCTGAGCACTAAAAGCCAACATTAATGCAACACAGAGAAACATGCACAGGTAGAATTATTCACCGGCACTAGTTTACACAGTAATTCTACAACGACAGTAGAAACATAAAGGGGGGCCTAAGATCAAAACTCAATATATTAATGGCTCCTATCCTTCAAAGTTTTCTACTATCAATATACCATGTCAATCAAGCATTTGATTCTTTTAAGGTCATTAACTACTTTATACAAGCACTTATAATAAGGTTGTTCTGGTTGTAATACACTCATGATACAAAATCATCCAAGTTACAGAAAGCACATGCCACAAAAAGTGGCACTTCCTGTGACTGTAACTTTGAATAATAAGAGTATAATGCAGTTTACCACTGCCCAGAAAACAGACATGCATCTTGGTAAGGTATGAGACAAAACAGAAAAAGGAGATGCGCTCTCCTCTCCTACCTTGCTGCATGACTGAATTAGTCAAATAGGAGCAATGAAGCATTGCTCCAGTGTGAAAAATATTATCTCCTTTTTGAAATGGTGGGTGAGGCAGAAGGATACATGTGATCTAGTGCTTTCAAAACATCTTTTCACTCTCCAGCTTTTAAAAACATGAGACACTGAGCCTCATTAGACAGTCAGTAACAGAAAGGAATAGTAAGAAAGGACAAAATTCACCTTAAGTCATCCAGCACAGACTGATATTCTTTCTTCGCCTCAGCTATTTCTGCTGCTTTATTAGCTTCATTAATTGCATTATCTACTTGCTGAAGAACTCCTTGCTCCAATACATCCTGGTCATAGACATCAACTCCTAGGCCTTTGAGCTCAGCAGCCTGTGCGCTACTTGAGATGGACTGAATCTGCTGCCTGTCGATCTGTAAGAGGGGTTGTCCTCTTCTGGGCACCTCCAGAGGAACAGCCATGGAAGCAGATGACTGGCTGGCAGAGTTGGGAACTCTAAAACTGTTACCCAGGTCATGGTTACAACTGCCATTTTCTTGTTCAGTTTCCAATTCCTCAGCATTATGAGGGCAATTATTGCTTGAAGTAGTAACAGAGTTTTGTTCTTGGACACTGTCTGGCATGTGGCTGTTGTCTGTTGGCATCCTCTGCTCAAAGACAACAGAGAAGAAACACATCATCAGAAGAACATTCACACACACAAAATTCCTCGTGAAGACCGTACCCAACTAAGCAAAACAATAAACGTTTCTTTATGAAAAAATCTTATTTCAAAACACCTAGTAGCCTACTTCTCTCTGACTCCTCCCCACAAAGGCTTCTTCACATTAATTTCCACAACCAAAAGGAAAAAGCAGCCAAAACTTCTTAAAAGACAACTATATGAAATACTCCTGGAAGACACTGATATCTGGACAAATACAACAATCTATAACAATTATTGCCCTTGCAGGAGAGCGAACTCAATCTTGCGTACAAACAATCATCCATCGGGACACTGGCATAACAAAAACATACGCAACTTCATAAATGCAAAACCAAAAAATATAACTTTTTCAAATAGGATAAGACTTTGCCAGTGAAGGCACTGATGGGAACAGTTGGCCATAGACTTTAGTTTGACAATCTGGCTTTGAAACAGATCGTAAAGAATCTCCGTTGTTAGGAAATTAACAACTGACTTACCAAGGTAAGCCTGGGGCTGGTATTGCTTGAAGCCTTCAGTGTGAGACTATTTCCTTAAAAGACGTAACTTTTACCAACTTCTAGAAGGAATAAGTGGGACTAACTCGCAGAAAGACATTAATAAGGCGGGTGGGCTTCATCAGCAACCTCTGCCGGCGCGTCAGCCCCTGGATCTCGGCCTCAGTTTGCTTCCATCAGCTCCGAACGCGCACTCAACGGCTCTGGCCCTGCCGTCAGGCAACGGTTACCGCGACAGCCCCGCGCACGGCCCGTTCCACTCCTGGAACCGCCCCCTCCCCGCGCGGCGCCCCGAGGGCGCGCGCTTCGCCGCCTCCCTCCACCAG